CTCCCCTCTAATGTCGGTCTCTCCCCGAAGCTGTGGGTGCTCCAAAATCACAGAAGGTTTCAGTTCATCTTCAAATGCCTAACACTTGAGAGAGGCTGTGAGCTGGCTCAGCTGGGGGTGGGGGGTGGGGGGTGCAACTACAAGAACCCAGAAGGCAAACGTAAAGGGCATAGAAATAAGAGTCACAAGAGTCGCGCGTATCTCGGTCCTGACCCATACTGTGTCACCCTGAACACGTCCGTCTGCCCTTTTGGGTCTCAGTTTCCTCCTCGGGAGAAGGGAGGACGAATCTGCCTGAATCTGTCCACATGTGCTGTTCAAAGGAAGAAATGCAGATCTCTAAGTTCCACAGAGCAAGTCTTCCTGGGTTCGAGATAGAGGAACTGGCCCCGGGGGCCTGACCAGCCCCGCCTTGGCCCCATCTTTGCTGACCTTGGAATTCTGGAGTCACGGTTGAGAAGTCCTGGATGGGGTCCTCCCCAGCAGGGACCACGCTGGCCTGGGGGTGGGAGAATGACCAGAAGCCGGCTGCACGCTCTCTGTCCTCAGGCAATTCCCTTTCTCCCAGGGCCTCAGTTTCCTCCCGTATGAAGAGGGAGGGTTCAGGGAAAGAGCCAGAGGAGGTGGGAAGGTGACTGGCTCCCAGAGGTACGGGCGGCTTGAAGCTCCCAAACTCAAAGACACCCCAGAGCCGCCTTCCGTTGTGTCCACCTGGGATGGCTTTTGGGACCTGTCCCCGCCCCCCTTCCCGGCTTCCCGGTGCTGTGTCCCTCATATTTTCGGGATGAAGATGAACGTGTGGGCCGGAGGATGGGAAGGGGGCCCTGGGAAGCACGTGGGTGGGGGGACTCCCCTCTGCAGGGGCAGGGAGAGCCAGCCCCCGCACCCCGTAGCCTTTCCCTGGTGCTCAGAGAAAAAATAATAACGACGACAGCAGTAATGATAATAATAATAATAATGTCAGCTGGCTAACACCTGGTGTCAGATATGAGTCACCTGACCCCACAAGCTGCCAAGGACTCAGTGGAGTGAAGAGGGTGGCTCTCTGGGCCGCAGAGGCAAGGCAGTAGGATACGGGCCGCGCCTTTGCAATCTGACTGATCAGAAGGCATTCACTCCTCAAAGCCTCAGCTCCCCATCCGTGAAATGAGACGGGCTCAGTGCCCTCCCAGGTTATGGGGTGCTCGAGAAAGGAAGGAAACACACATGAGGCTTAGTGGGGCCAGAGTTCTGACATGGAATCTGGGCCCCACCTCCTCCAGCAGGGAGACTGAGGAAATCGGCTTGACTTCTCTGACCCCCTGGCTCCTCGGTCCTTCCTGTTTGCTTTACTGAAGGGAAAGGAGATGTCCGGCTCTCAAAAACAGGGTAGAAAGACATAATTTTACGTATCCCTTTTAAAACGCCACGAAGACGAGAAGGTGCTCGTTAGCCCTTTGGGCTTTGAACCCCTGCCTGGCAGTCCTTTATCTCTGCTGTTCCCCCACAGGCCTTCTCTCCAGCCCCCACGGCCATGGCCTTCACCCCAGTGCCACTGGAGGATACATCTTCACACCCCCAGTTCTGCAAGTGGCCATGTGAGTGCCCGCCGTCCCCACCCCGCTGCCCGCTGGGGGTCAGCCTCATCACAGACGGCTGTGAATGCTGTAAAATGTGTGCTCAGCAGCTTGGGGACAACTGCACAGAGGCAGCCATCTGTGACCCCCACCGGGGCCTCTACTGCGATTACAGTGGGGACCGCCCGAGGTACGCAATAGGAGTGTGTGCACGTAAGTGAGACCCTCCCTACCTTCTGGCCAGCCCCCAGCACCCCCAGCTCTAGCCCTCACCCATAGCCCCTTCCCTGGCCAGGCTGCGCCCCCCGCCATTCTAGTCCATGATCAGAGGTCAGGAGCTAGGCCCTTCTTGAGGAGGGAGGGACGCCTGCCTTCCACTTGCCTCCAGAACCTGGCTTCCTTCTCTCTTCTCCAGCTGGGAGTTACATCCATGGCTGACCGGGGGAAGGGAGGCACCAGGAAAGACCTAAGCATGTTTTCATTCTCTTAGTGGTAGACACTTTGTGGGATGCCTATGCCTCCCAGAGGTACCAAAACCCATCAGAGTTCCAGATGTTCCAGTAATATTCTAAATTTAAATAATATGGTTTTTAAAAATCCACTAACCTTGAAAGAATCAAATCCAGCAGCCTGCAATCATCCCTTTCTATACGCCCTTCTGTAACTACAGTCACTTTGAACTTTTTAGCCCTTTCTTCTGGTAGTAATCACTATGTAATATATGTCTTCTCTGGTAACTTAATTGGATTAAAATGCCAATTTTGGATAACCCCTCAATGTTCCTACATGTTAGCTGATGACTTAACTCCTCAATACCACCTGATACATCCCCTATCTTCCAGTATCATTTTCATAATTTTTGGTTATACAATAGTCAGTATTTACAATATTCTGACTAGTAAACAATGTTGCTGAAGCATGAGATATTGCACTTGTTTGAATTTCCTTTCTCATGAGGCTTTTTGGTTTTCCTGGGGTTCTAATTGCCTTTGCTTTTTCTTTACCCTTGGTCTTTATAATATCCTCATGCTGGGGGAAAACAACTATTTGTTGTTTGTTTGCTCTTCAAGTGCTCTATCATGTCCTTTTTTGTTCCCAGGGACTTCCTTACAAGGACTTTCTGATCTCATGCTTCTACCTGGAATGATAGTCACTTAGCTTGAATCATCTAAGCATTTATCCAAAATACATGACCCAGCATGATGAAAAGAGGTAACTAGGCATCATGACGCCGCAGCCTAACTTCTGAAAAATTACACAAAGCCTCGTAAACCCAAGAACCTCTTTCCTCCCTTAGTGCTGAAGCAAGACTTCTCCATAACTGTGACCCCATATGCACCCAATTACATGTTCACGCGTAGTACAGGCTCTCATCCTCAGCTAATCTACTGTATCTCCTGAGGTGGGTTGTTGATGAGGGTTATGCGCATAATTCCACATCAAACAATCCTACCTGTGCCTCACGGTTAATTATAAGCACTGTCTACTCTTTTATCATTGGTTCCTGCTTCAACTATCATAGCAAGTCATCTGCCTTTAGCTTTCCACGGAACCACCCTCGATTCTCCCATCCTTCTACTTTTTTTGCCCCCTTTTATTCAGACTCATTATTAGCCCCACAAAACAGTGTGTTTTTTCAAAGAGAACTTGCCGCGCCACCTGCACAGAATCATCTGATGTGTCGGCTAAAAACATTGCCCTTGAGCCCGACCCCCAGGCATACTGAGTAGAATTCTCTAGAGGTGAAGGTGGTGTCTGCACCTTTAACAAGTTTCCCGGGTGATTCTCATGCATTCTCAACTCTGAGACTGCTTATAGAGAGAGACAGTTGTATAGTTTTCTCCCCATACCCAGGTGAGGAAAGCTGGCTGAGCCTTCCTCCACTAGAATCCCTTCCAGCTATATGAGACTGTCTCATCACTTCTTTCCCCTTTTGGAAGCTGTTATTCCAGGTCATTAAAAAGGGAACTCAGTTCACTGTTATCACTCTAATGTCTAAAGCTGCACAGACATCTTGCTATGTGCGAGGCACCTCATCTTTATAGACATTCTCTCATGGACCCAGAGAGGGTGCAGGCCCTGAAACTGCCTTTCCCCCACCAGAGGCCTGGAAAACCGCCTTCCCAATCCATACACACCCCCTATCTCTTTGTATCTCAGGTCCTGCCTTTGCTCACGATAGCCTCTTAGCTCCCCTCACCATGAGCCCCTGTGTATTCCCTCTCCTTTTATCTGGAAAGAAAACTGGTCCACAGATTTTAATAGATATCACACCTGCCAAGGGTTCCCTGGTCCCATCGGTTTGCAGACACTAGAATAAACAATGTTGAACAAGTATACAGAGCTTCTGAGAGGTTTTAAGTGTTCACGTCCACTGTAAAATTCCAAAACGGGAGGTACCAGAAGAAACCCTATTTTTGAAACGTAAGTGCACAGGGAATTGTTTTGTCCAGGTAGATGTTAACTACTCACCCACCCCACCACACACACATGCACACTCACAGATACACACATTGCATGCATACGTGTGTATGCACACACACACACACACACACACACACCTCACTAGTATTCTACCAAACATCTTCCCAGAAATGCTGCCATGGTGTCTGAGTTCACGACCCCCCAAGGCAAGAAAGAGGAGAGGCCAATGTCTGATGGCCATACAGAGGAAGGCACCTCAGGGCGAGAAGAAGAAAGAGAAGGTCCCTTTAAACAGACAGTTTTTTGGCACATGGTCAACTCAACCTATGGATGGTCCCCAAGACAGGTTAAATCTGTCCATGGAGGTGTGCGTGTAACGAGGCCAAGGCAGGTCATAACAACAAGCAATCACAACACTGGCACATGTAACTCAGAGAAAGGCGGAACTATGGCAAACTAATGAATGCAAGCTTTGGCTACCAGAGGTCACAGCTCCCGGGCACAAGCCACTGTGGCCAGGCAGAAAAGTGAGCTTGGACTTGTCCATGCTGCTCAGTCTTCAAGAGAATCCAAAAATCCGGATTTGTGTATAATTTGTAAATGTTGGTGACATGTTCCAAAAAAAAAAATTTTTTAAACACTCTGTGGGCCAAACTAAATACTTCTGTGGGCAAAGAGTGACCTCTGAATTATACTCTTTGGCTATTTTGGTTGTACAAACATTACTCTGCATTTAACGCAGCTGGGTCAGGCCTGAGAGCAGTGTGGTTTGCTGGAAGGATCATGAAATTTACAGGCAGACAGACCTGGGTTTTTGAATCTTGGCCCTGCTGTTTGCTGGCTACGTGACCTTGGGCACATCACTTAAGGAGCTTGATCAAACCAACCTCATGCAGTTGTTGAGAATAAACAAGGGACCACATTAAAGCCTCAAATGTGACCGGCTGTTCTGGGCCATTGCTTTACTTGATTTGTTTTCACTTTCCCTTGTAGAAATTATCTCAGCCTTGTCCATGGTCATCCTCAGAGGAGCCTCATTGCAGGCTCAGACTCCCCAGTGTGGACAGTGAGGGAGTAGAAAGCTCATGCATGGTCTCAGGAGCTGGACAATCTAAGTTCGAACCCCAGCGCCATAACTAATACGGTGTCACTAGGCAAGCTACTTAACCCTTGAAGTCTCAGTTTCCTCATCAAGGAAAATGTGACAAATAAGGCCTACATCTTTGGGTGATCGAGACGTCAAGAACCTGATACATGGTCAGAGCACAATACAGATTAGGGCCCACCCCACCTCCCATCCACCCATCCATCCATTCACCCACCCATCCACCCATCCATCCATTCACCCACCCATCCACCCATCCATCCATCCATCCACTGACTCGTTCACATAGTTATGAACAGGTGGGTGATAATCCAACAGTGGGGTTACAACGAGGCATGGCCCCTGTCCTTGCTCCCATGCAGCTGACGCTCCAGTAGGAGGTGGGTGAGGGACGTGAAGGCCTGGAGTGTGGAACAAAGGATTTGAGTTCCTGCTGGTCCTTCAGTAAGAGGAAGGCTCACCAGGCCATGGCTGTGCTTGCAAAGTCTGAGATTAGATAGGAGGTGGTGAGCTTCCCATTAGCGTGCAAGTGAATGAGGAGGGCGCGTTAGAGTCTGCTGTGGGCCCAGCCGTACATCTTTCATACACCCCTACTCTCGCTCTCACCAGCGGTGGGCAGGCTGCTCAGGGCCACTGTCCCCCACCGGTCCCAGACTCCCAGAAGACTGGGAACAGCTTTCAGAAGCAAGGTTCCCAATCTTGACTGCAAACTGGATTCACCCAAAGAGCTCAAACCTGCAAAGGTCAAGGGCTCCTGGGTGGCTCAGTCAGTTAAGCATCCGACTCGTGATCTCAGCTCAGGTCTTGATCTCAGGGTCAAGTTGGGCTCTGCCATGGGCATGAAGCCTACTTTAAAAAAAATACTAAGGCCCGGAAAATAACCATAAAAGTAGAGAGTCCCATCATCTGGGGCACAGGGCGGGGGTCAGAATTTTTGAAAGTTCCCCAGCTGGTGCCTCCGTGCAGCTGGTGGTGACAGCCACTAGGCCAAGGGCTCCCTGGCACCCGGCGCTGCCTTGTCCCTGCAAAGTTCCCCCACGCAGGGGCAGAGACCAGGTTTCAGCACGCCCCTTCTCCCCCTCCACCATCATGCCCACACACGCGCGCGTGTGCTCCCACCTTCCGGGTGCAAGGGCGCGGCCGGGGGTGACTCAGAGCGAAAGGATGAGTGATTCACCCAGGGCTTCCTCCGCTTCGCCTTGTTTTGGTTCGGTTTGTTGTTGTTTTTTTTTTCCCCATTTCCCCTCCTTTACCGGTGTCTGGTGGAAGGAAATGGGCTGTGGGGCTGGCGCTCCCCTGGGTTGGAGGGGCAGCTCTATCATTTCACCAGCTGGGTGACCTTGAGCTAATGAATCACTCGACCTCCCCGTCTGCCAAACGGGGAAAATAAAACTCTCCTCGTGAAGTCCCCGGGAGAACTGAATGAGATAACATATCAGATGGTGCCTGGCACGAGATCAGATACAGGGTCAGCGAGCGGTAGCGCCTTTCCTTTCTGGGCCTCCTCCCTGCACGATCTTCTCCCAGGAAAAACAGCAGCCGCGCCAACATTCCCACGGGCTGAGGCTCTGCGTCTAGCTGGGCCGCCTTCGGCACGTGACTCCACGGAGACTCAGTTTTGCTAGATGTGAAAACGAAGGTGACGGTGGGTGGTGTTTCCAGTCTCGGATGAAATCAGTACGCCAGCTCTGGCACCTTCTGAAAGTAGGTCAGGTGATCTGGCAGCCCTGGGAGATGCCAGGGCTATTCTATCAGTGACCACCTGCAGGCGAACCCCGGAGATGCTCTGTCAGACCGCGGATTTCAAACCAGCCCTCCTCGGTGCTGCATTTTGCTGCTCGGGGAGCTTCTGCCTGCATCTAAAGACGCTGTCTCAAGTGAGGGATGCTGGGGTAAGGGCTGGGGGTGCAGCGCCACAGGCCTGCAGCCCCGCCTCGCCAAGCCGGGCCCCTGAACTTGTTATCATCTCCCTGCCTCACGAAGAACCCTCGAGGCCACTCACCCCAAAGCCAGCTCCTCCGGGGACAGAGCACCCCTCCCCTTCCGGGCTCAGTCATAGAAGCAGGAGTCATTCCTGACTTTCCTCCGCCTCCTCGCCATCCTGAACTGCAGCTGTTCCTTCCAAGCACATCCAGAAGCTGGGAGCCCTCCCCGGTGGTCCAAGCACAGCCACCGCCTCTGATTGTTGGGGTGGGCGCCTCGGCACTCTTTCTGTTTGTTCTTCTGTTTTCACCATCCAGCGCCATGGCGCTTCTTGCCGGTGATTCCTAGAGCCGAGCCAGTTACTTTCTGAAGACCCTGGTATCCAGGCAGGCACAGCTTTGCCTCTTCCTGAGCCTGCAGAAGTTCCCTCAACCTCAGTCTCCACTGCCTTACCTGGCCCTGATTCCTGCAGCCCTTTTCCCCGCCTCGGTGGCTCCTCGGCACCTGTGCCACCCACTGCCTTCACCTCCTTCTGTTCCTTGCCTAAGCTGCGACTACCTCTGTGAGGTTGGCTGCCCACTTGAATCAGCCACTGCCCCCCATCCCCAGCCTCCTCTCATCGTTCTCCTGGCACTGGTGCCCATCAACACTGTGTGATCCGGCTTTTCCTGTGTCACCCCTGTCATGTAAGCTCTATGGGGCATGGTTTGTCTGTTTTGGTCGCTGAATTTGCGTCGAACCTTCTATAAATATGTATTGAATGAGGGAATCTTTGTTTTGTAAAGTGTTCTACTAATTTACACTGGCCCTCAGAACCACATGACCTGAGTGTATTTTGTCATATTTGTGGCTCTGTGCCATGCTGGGGTGGGACCGACGGGTCGCGATAGGTTCTGGCTCATGCTCTAGTCAAGCTGCCAGCCTGCCCCTGGGGGGGTCACTTCCAGCTGGTGATGGCTGAGTCAAGACCCCACACCTCCCACCCCCCCAAGGGTGAAGTCCTGCCTGGCCCGCCACACGCGGTGCTCCCCTGCAGGGGCTGGGACAGGTCCAGAGGCGGAGGTGGCCCACATGGGGCTGAGCCCACTGGGCCTGACCACTGAAAGGGCGGGCTGTGTGTTTGCAGAGATAGGAGTTCAGCGCGTGGCCAGCCCTGACGGGTGGCACCAACGGGCCAGTCCTTCCAGCCCAACAGGCACAATCCAGGTCAGGTGTGGACGGGCGCCAGTGGCTGCACACCTTCCCAAAGCAGCAGCTACTTCGCTACTTGGTGGCTGGCTGGCGCGGGTGTGATGTGTCTCGCCGCTCACAGGGAAGGATTTGATGGTGCCATCACAAGAAGACAGCCAGAAGCCACACACAGGCTTTGAAGGGTTCGGGGAGAGGGATCGGGACGTGAGTGGGCGGGGCCCCTGGCCACTGTGATTGGCGGCACACGCATGAGTCCCAGTCCCATACCCTCCCACTAGTTGCGTGACCTCCTCGGGACCCTATTTCTCCATCTGTCCCATCTGTTTATGGGGTCCCTGCAGCATAAAAATGAGGAAGACATAAAGAGCAAAGCCAGATAACATGGGAGCTGTCCTACTTAAGAGATTAGGGTAGGGAGTGAGGTGAGGAACGGTGTGTACTGAGGAGGCATGCACCAAGGTGCAAGGGAGGGAGAGGGGTAGGTGGTGGCTCACTGCTTATGGAGGAGGAGGGTGACAGGTGAGCCAGAGGAAGCCCCTGGGAAAGGGAGGGAGGAGGGACAGGCCCACTGTTTTAACACTGCTTCCTGGAGAAGCCCAACGTCAGCCACTGCGTACCGACTACGCTCAATACACGGGTGACGCGATGAAATGGACAAGTGGATGGATGACGGACCGACCTTGATGAGTACGGACAAAGCAAGATTTGATTTTGACAAGGTATCGACGACAGATGACGGGCTTTGATGGACGGGATGGACGGACCGAATGGATGACGGACGGGCGACGACGGACGGGCGACGGACGACGGAACGGATTGACGGATGACGGACGTTGCGACGGACGGACGGGCGATGGACAGACGGATAGACGGGTATTTGATTTGATCTGACGGACGGACGTTGCGACGACGGCGGGCAGACGGATGGGATTGACGGAGTGATCCGGTTTTGTGCCAGCCAGTGAGACTGCAACAAGCCCCATGCGAGATGCACCGCTGATGAGTGAGTGTTGGTGACCGAAGCATCAACCACCGGAGAGAGCCTAAGCCTACGCACCCGGGGCCGTCGGCTTGCGCGACGGTCCAGGAATGACAGCGCAGACAGAGGCCCGAGGCCGACACCTGATGGTTGCGAATGAGCGTGCAGCCTTAAATATGAACCTTGGTCGTTTATCATCGTCATAAACACAAAAGCAGATGAGGTTTCTAGGCTGAAAGTGTCTGCCAGACAAGTGATGAAAGAGTGAAGAGATGCCAATAGAGCCTGGGGTTTCAGAGTAATTGATGGTTTCCTAACAATTAGGTGCCTGAGATTGTTCAGGAGGATTGTGGTGAGCAAGGTTTCTCAACCTGGTACAGATCACATCCTATGAGCCAGAGAAGACTCTGTGGGAGGGCTGCCTGTGCATTACGGGGTGCTCACCAGCACCTCCTCCTCACTTCAGATGTCTGCAGCACCCACACTTCTCAGGGAGTAAGTCAACCAAATATACCTGCAAGATTGCCATTGGAGACCGGGACAAATCAGCCCAGGAACCATAGGTAAAATTCCTGAAACACTACCATCCAAGGCCAGGGAGAGAAAAGCTGAGACAGGCTAATCCAAGAGGCAGGACAGAAAACAGGAGAAAGAGGTTTGCAGAAGCTAGGGTGAAGAAGGTGTTTTATAGAACAAACTGGAAAGCAGTGAAAGGGGGGTGGTGCCAGGGGACCAGCCCAGATTAAACAGAGACGGCCCCCAGGCTGTACTAGCCAGCTGTGAAAAGTGCCACTTCCAGTGGTCCCGTTCCCTCTCTCATAGCCTTTGAGATAGAGTCTCCGAGGGGCTTGCTGGCTGCATTTGTTCTAGAGGCTCAAGGCAGAGTCCCAGTCAAGGTTTCTCAATCCTGGTAGAGCTGTCACAGGAGGGGGAGGCATAAGCTGCCTATTGTATGTGGCCCAGTGACTGTTTCTGACTCCAGGACGAAATTTGTTTGCCAGTGGGCTACTCCAGAAACCAAGTCCTTCCTAGTAACTGGTCTCCTCCTCCGCCTCCTCCTGTTTCCCACTCCCCCCAGCTCATCCTAGCCTTCCTCTCTGTCCTAGTTGCTCTTGTTTCTTTTTTTTCATTTCAGCTCCCCTCTTTTCACTCTATTTTCCTTTTTTCCTGTCACATCCATCCCTGTTCCTTGCATGCCACTCTGTCTGCTTCTGAGGGTTGAGGGAAACCTGGTTCTGACCTTCCCATTAATTTTCCTCCTTTTTCCTTTGCCCCACTGTAGTCCAGCTCTCCTCCCCGCCTTTCTTCTCCCTCTCTGCTCCCTGTTCACCATCTGTCTTTCCTCCTCTCCCCCCTCTGCCCGGTCCTTTCTCTGTCTTCCTGCCTGTGGGCACGTGTGTTAGGGCGGGACTGGCTTCCTCTTTGAGGCTTCTCTTGTATATCTTGTTCCGTCTCTCTGTGGCACCTCTCTTTTGTCCTGCTGGCTTTTTCCTTGCCTCCCCCTCTAGCTTAGCCCATTTTTCCATTACTCAGAGAGTAAGTGAGCACTCACCATGTTCTAGATGCTGGGATGCACACATGGATAGAACCATCCGAGACTTGGTGTTTAGTTGACAGTCAAGAAACCACGTAAGCTCGTGTTTACTGAGAGTCTACTAAGGGCCAGAGACAGCTTGTGGCTTTCATAGGTGCGGACCCATCTTTTCTGTCCACAGCCCTGGGAGGGAAATGCTAGCATCAACCCCTCTTTGCAAGTGGGGAGCCTGAGGCATGGAGGTGGGGTTAGCTTCTTGAAAGCTGCCCGACTGCTAAGTGGCCATGCTCATAGTTGAAGCCAGGCAATTTGGCTCTGAAGCCTGTGTGTCTCTTTAACCACTGTGCCCTCAGCATCACCCAGATTAGCTATTAGGCTCTAGGGGATAGACACTCCCTCTGACTTTCTCCAAATAAACTTGATCTCTGCAGGGGCAGGGATAGCACCTTGCAGGTGCCTGATATGTACTCAGTAAACAGGCCCTTTCTTTGGCACACCAGCCTTGGAAGGCAGGCGTTCTGTTCCAACGAGGACACCGAGGCCCGGAGTGAGTTACCCGGAACCCTACAGCTTGGAGGTGGTCACGCAGGATTTGCACTCTGGTCCACCTGTCTCTAAAGATGATCTTTCTCCCAGAGAAGCAGAGGAGCCCAGAGCAGATCCTCCTCTCCCTGGGGAGGGGTTAGGAGTTAACTTGCCCTTTCAGGAGTGGGGGGAGATAGCCCACCTCTTTCCTCTTGAAGCTTCAGGGTCCCGGACCCTGTGGGCGCTGAGGGTGGGGCAGAGTGGCTGATGGCGTCTGGCGACTCACAGGGTGTCCGGTCCCTATATCCACAGCGGCCACGGGTGAGGTGGAGCCGTGGCACAGGAACTGCATAGCCTACACGAGCCCCTGGAGCCCTTGTTCCACCAGCTGCGGCCTGGGGGTCTCCACTCGTATCTCCAACGTCAACACCCGGTGCTGGCCTGAGCAGGAAAGCCGCCTCTGCACCCTGCGACCCTGCGACGTGGACATCCGTCCACACATCAAGGTGAGTCCACCCTCCAGGGCGGGGTAGGCATCTTACAAGCCCAGCTTAAAGCCTGGCACCTGCACTTCCTCGAGGGGGCCGTTTGGAAAATGGGAAGAGTTAAGCCCCCTTCGGAAGAGTTACATGGGATAATGTGTATCAGCGGGCTTTCAGGCAACGGAAGCATTGCGGTGACCATATTCTCAGAGTCAGGGTCACTCTGGAGAGAACTGAGAGGCCCTTGGAAGTGCTTTCCTGTGGACATGCTCAGGGACCCTCACTGACTGCCACTCACCCTATGGTCCTGTCCCAGCCCACACCCAAGTGCACGGACATGACAGTCACACTGGGCAGTAGGAGAGCTCTAAAGAGGGCTCAGGACAGCTGGAGTCAGGAGCCAAATGCCCATTTGCTGCTGACTGCACATGACTGTGGCCAATCTCTGCATCTCTGAGCCGCAGGCTCCTCGTCGGTAAGACTTGGGGTTGGTCTGACATCTCTTCCGGCGTTGAGGGGCTAAGATAATTAAAGGATGAGGATAGAGTGGGCCACAGTAGTTAGAAATGGGTCTGATTTATCTAACTCAAGGTGTCCTCACTTCTGTCTTGGGACTCCCATGCCTTGGTGCCACATAAAAAGAAAAGAAAAGGAAAAGGAAAAAAAGGAAAAGGAAAAGGAAAGGAAAGGAAAACTCAGCACTGACTCCATTTTTGGAGCACTGATGGCATCTTGGGGCTGCCGAAGAGAGGACTGCCCAGGGGACAAGAGAGCTCCACTTCCCCATGAGTCCTTCTTACTCCCTGTCCCCCACCCCGACTCCATTATCTCTGTGCCAGCCAACTGGATCTTTCCACCTCCTCCTTCTCCTTCTTCTCCCCTTCTCTCTTCCGCTCCCTCTCTGATCAGTTACCTCTGCCACGCTGGCCTCCATATTCTTGGTGCCTGGTGCAGAGTAGGTACTCAGCAGATGTGGTTTAACTGAGAGTGTGAATGGAAGAGTTGTGAGCTGCAGGAAAGATGGGAACAAAGGCCCCAAGTTGGGTGAAGGCACCGTGCCTTTGAGGTAGGGGTGGGTCTACCATAAAGCCAACTCAAGTCCTTGCTGTTGCCTCTTGCTTCCCACCCAATTTTGGTTTTGTAATTATGAACCCAAGATGGCTCCTGCGTAGCCTGGACCTGCTCTACCCCCGGTTCTGGCGTGGTGCCGGCACGTGGGAGAGCCATTCGTTCAACGAATTTAGTGAGTGCCTACTGGGTACGGGGTGTGGAATTAGATTGTAGAGTCACAGTAAGGGCCCTGCTCTCAAGTGGCCCACTGCCCAGTGGGGAGATAGAGCTAGTTTTCCAGAATACACTCTGGTTGAGCAAGCTGCATGAGGAGGATGTGTGCGAGAGTCTGTGGGGAGAGGAGGAAGAACAGGTTAGGGGAAAGGGCAGCTCCCCGATCATGGAACCCCGTGATGGTTCTAGCACTCAGCAGCTGGGACACTTGGTAGACCGAGGGAGCTACGCAGGCATCCTGCGTTGGCAAAACCGTGAGAGAGTCCTGGGCGTGGGCAAGGCAGAAAGGTAGGAAAGAAGACCTTATAGGTTGCGAGGAGGAACCATGCATGCCAGGCAGGGCCCGGGGAGGCCTTCAGTTGCTTCTGCATAATATGTCTGGGTCTCGCCGTGTTTGGGGAGGTCCAACCTCGCTTGAAGATGCTGCAGACCTGAAAGAAAAGTGGAGGGTTCCTGCGTGGTGAGTGCGAAGGGAGAAATGAGGGCTTGGAGGGAGGACGGTGACTGTTCATCCTCTGAGCACCCCAACTGAAACCTCCTTTTCTGCAGGAAGGGAAGAAGTGTTTGGCCGTGTACCAGCCCGCGGCATCCATGAACTTCACCCTCGCCGGCTGCACCAGCACGCGTCCCTACCGGCCAAAGTACTGTGGGGTGTGCACAGACAGCAGGTGCTGCATACCCTACAAGTCCAAGACCATCGACGTCTCCTTCCAGTGTCCCGACGGGCCTGGCTTCTCCCGCCAGGTCCTATGGATCAACGCTTGCTTCTGCAACCTGAGTTGTAGGAATCCCAACGATATCTTTGCCGACTTAGAATCCTACCCTGACTTCCCAGAAATTGCCAATTAGACGGGTACAAAACACGGGGCTCGGGCGTGGCCCAGTGTGTGCAAAGCAGCCAGCCCTCCGAGGCCCCCAGTTGAGCCTTCTTCGTCCACTTCCCGCTGACTTCTAACTATCCTGATCCAGACCGTCAGCCCCCTGTCCTGTTTCCAACCACCCGAACGACCCATTCCGCTGCTGCTCGGGCCCAGACTCTGACTTCTCTCCTTGGCCGTGTTCTGCATACGCTCCAGACAAAGTGCCTGTCTCCAGCTCTTCTGGACAAAACCCAAGCCTGTCCAAGTCACTGGAAGTCCTGCTGGATCTTACCTGAGTTCCAAGGAACAGAATCAGCTAGGCATTTCACATCGCTCCTTCCCTTTCTAGATGCCAAACCACAAGACTCTTTGGGTCCGTTCAGAAGCACAGATGGGACCTAGGGCAATGGAACAGTCTATTATGTGGGTCCTGCCACGTGGACGCTGATAGACAGTTCTGACCGTAGCACACCCAAGTGTCTCTGATTCCGAAGATTTGGGCTAAGTCTCTCGTCATCCCTGCACGGTAAAGGGTCCACACTAGTTCGTTTTGGTCAGAAATGCAATTTGATGACTTTCATTCTTATTCAAGGGAAAAGTCTCCAGTCAATACTCTAGGGTCAGAACAGGGTCGGCCAATTTTCAGAAGTGACGGACCCTGGCGTGAATCTGCTGCTGACCAGCAGGACACCGGGCAGCTGGCCAGCTCTTCTGGGCATCCAGACCCTCTCGCTGCTTGGGGGCTCCTGGGAGTTGGGGGAGCCCTTAGGATGGCCCCTCTGACCCCTGAGAGTGGCATCCCGGGACGTTGCTCTGCTCTTACGGGGCCTTGGGAGACCCCGCTGAAGTCCGGGCCGGACCCGCCTAAAGTAACGGAGACAGCTACAGGCCGTATGTGGCTCAAACCACGAAGCGGATCCACTCTGCATCAGTCTGGGGCACAAGGACACTGCTCTTTCTGCTGCAGTGACCCTTCTCACAGACTTCGGGTCTGCTGACCCAAACCCCCAGTCCTGGTGTGAAGACGGGTTTACCAGTTGTCTAGAAACGGAAATATATTTAACAGGGACTAAATGCCAGAGTGGGTTGAAGCTTAAAAGGAACAGAAGGTTGTTATGAATGGAAATGAGACTATTATTTATCTTGTTAGCAGAATATAAATATTTACTGTCACAATTCTTTTATTTACTACCTTCTGTTTGCCGGATATTGTTCCCAGTGCTCTGCATGCATCGGCTCGTGGGGAGACTTGGCAATCGTGTTGGCAAGGGCCTATTATTCTTTCTGTTCTTACAAATGTGAAATAGCAGCTCAGCAAGGTACGGAGCCTTGACCGAAGTCAGCCGGCGGGTACGTGGGGAAGTCAAGATTCAAATCCAAGTCGGATTGACTTTACGACCCGTGTCTCTGTCCTTACTTTTTTAGAGCTCCCAAGCGGGTCGAGCAGGAAAACATGTCAGAGTAACCGACTTCCTGCCCTTGTTTTTTCACTCTTTTTACTGCTTCTCTAGCCCCTTTCCCAAGAGAAGCGTATCTCACTTTCAGGTAATGTAGGTGCCTGAGCATCCAAAAAAAAAAAAATACGGGATGGACAAAACTCCATGAATCGGTCCTCCCCTCCTTCAGATCAGGAGCCAGCCTTCATCATGAATTTAAGAGATGGTTTTGTTTATCCAATGCTTCGGATGAGAGATGTGCGGGTTATTCCTGAGGGAATTCGGTGTTGGTGGGCCAGGGGTTCTGAAATACGAAAAAAGGACTGGAAATATGCCTTCCTGACCATGACCTCCCCCACGCCTGGTCCATACAAGGCATACAGTGGTCCTCAATATATATTTGTGGAATAAAAGACACCATGTATGTGTTCCTACTTTTACTCAGAGGCTCTCTTCTTCCAAAGGTACAGATCTTATCAGCCAAATCTTATTTGAAGTGCCCTAGGAAGGAGACACTGGATATTTAAACAAATGTCTTTTTTTTGTTGAAAAAGACATTTTGTGTGAAGAGCATTTACCCCAAGAATAAGCTCTTCTCTAAGCCTGTGTGGATCTACGTTGGATTTTCTCAGAGTGAAATTACCTGAGGTCTACAAATCACAAGGACCGGATGACGGCTAACCGCGTTTGAAATTCAGCAGAAATCCAAGAGCTAGGTTCTTCCTGACTCTGCATCCCAGTTTGGAAAAATGAGCATAGCTTCCAAGATCCTAGGAAACCTGGATGGAGGAATCCCGGAGTGCCCTGGGGCCGAGTGGGCTGGGGTAACTCCAGTTACATTGGTTTTGAGAAACGGACGTGTCCTAGGCAGGCCCCCCTGGGAAAAGTCTCAGCTCCATGTTCTGAAGTCATGGGGAAGGAGATTTGGGACCAATGCAAGGAAAACCTTTCTAGCAGTCAGATTCGCTCGGCAGTGGTGTGACCGACCTCAATAAAAGTTAGGAATATTAGTCACAAAGAAAAAATGTCCCTTTTTTGAAGGCCTCCTTGGTGCCACCCACTTTGCTTAAATTATCTTACTAACATTCACGACGTTTGGAAGGAAGCTTCTCGTCCCCGTTTCTATACATGGAAAGTTTGAGACTCACAGAGGCTGAGAAATCAGCCAAAACAAATTGGAGCCCAAATTCCAGCTTATTCCCCTCGGCCTGGCTCTTGGGGAGGCCTCCAGGAAGAGCACGAATGACCCCCAGAAGAGTGTCTCATTGGCAAGGCCATCCAGTAGACAAGACAGATGGTGTCTCCAGTCCTTTGTTACTCCGTGTTCTGGGATAAGGGGAAGGTACGCGAAGGATTTGTTAGCCTTTGGTAAAGAAATTCACATTAGCGCCTCAGGTGAATTTCTCTGGTGTGCTTAGGTGGGGAGAGAGGAAACCTGTATTCTCAAACCACCACTTCTTGCTAAACCTTATTGTCAACACTTGGCGAGCACTTACCGAGTGCCAGGCCTGGGCTAGGTGCTTTCCTGCTACATCTTTCTTAGTCCTCATAGCAAACCTATGAGACTTGGCGTTATCATCGTTTTCCGCGTCAGAGAGAAGACGCCGGGGCTCACAGATGTTACGTACTCTGCTCAGTGTCTTACTAGCTAGGGAACTGCAGACCGGGATTGCCAACCAAGGTCAGTCTGACCCCTGAGCCATCTCTCCTGACCCGAAGTCCGGTGCGCATGCCCCCGAGATCAAAAGGTACCAAGAGGTGCTTTACTGACAACAGGGCCGTGTCTGGACAATGTTAATTTCAAGGTGATTCAGAGAGGGAGTCAAGCAAGTAGGTTTGAATGATACAGTTGTCTATAATCTCATTAACATTGTGCTGTGTGTACATAGAGATCATGGGGAAGCAACGAAACCCCTGACTATTCTATTGAATTAAGTCACTGCTTTTTAAAGACTTATCTTGCTGTAAAGCAACTCCAATAATAAGCCTGCAGAGCTTGGGACTCACGAATGGTCAGAATGGTCAATTGTGTATCTGTGCACATATACGTGTGTGTGTGTGTGTGTGTGTGTGTGTGTGTGTATGTTTATATCTATTTTCAAACTGTGACTTCATATTTAAGTATTCCTACCGCCATTTTTGCAAGTGACTAAGAAATACAAATGAAGGAACGTTTTGGAATTTCCCAACAGAGGAAAAAAAGAGCACTTGGGCGATCTGTCATGTTTTACAACATTCCTCATTTTTCTCATGATTTGTGTAACGTGGAACATGTTTGTTCAATGTGAAGGATTTTCGGTGCGCAAATTCCCTGTTTATGCTTTTGTCCTTAAGGCAATAAATCATCAGCAAAATGACTTACCAGATCTTCTTGTGTGTGCAGTTATCATGCGTCACGATGGAACATCGAGTTCATTCCACAGATGTGCAGATGGTGGAGACTGGGTCCCAGATATTTTACATACGGTCATAAAAATAGCTAGAAATTTGGAGACGGGCTTAGAAGTATGAATTCTGAAATTCACAAAAGACTAGCACTACAAGTATGTCCACGCTGGAAGGTAGCTCCGGAAATTTTAGTGTTCATTCATTCATTCATTCATTCACTCACGCACTCAGTCACTCACTCAATGCCTTTCTACATCTCCAGCTAGCACCTTGAGGGCAGGGACTATGACGGCATCCTCTGGGCCTAGCACGGGGTGTGGCACAGGGCAGGGGCCGAGGAAGCAGGGGTTGGAGAATCGGGTGTACAGAGATGGGGATTGCCAGCTGCCTTAGGAACCAGCGAGAGTAAAGAGGAGTGTGGGGGAGGTTGCACGGTAAAATGGAAACCGCTCTGGGGGCGCCTGGGTGGCTCAGTCGGTTGAGCGTTCGACTTCGGCTCGGGTCGTGATCTCGCGGTTCGTGAGTTCGAGCCCCACTCTGCTGACAGCTCAGAGTCTGGAGCCTGCTTCAGATTCTGTCTGTCTCTCTCTCTCTCTCTCTCT